AGGGCGCCCCGGTCTGTCAGGGCAGAGTGGCGAGTGTCCTGCACCCCTCCCAGCCCCCTCCAGAGGTCTGGAAGCGCGGCCCGCTGGCCGGAAGTAACACTGTCGTAGGGTCTTTCCCTCATTAGACTGCTGGAGTACTTTGTTACTTTAACGGATGGGAATGTCAACAACAAAAATGAATCAAAAGGAAGGAATGTTCAAAAAAACTGGTAAATACTTTTTGACATTTGACTTGGTAGCCTCTCAACCGAAAATGGATCGTAAAGGGGTGGGTTAAATGCTAGAAGAAAAGGGAACTCGTATATTTTACAAATGTCGGATTGGCTTTTGGAGCAACGAAAAACACCGGGAGAAAAATATGGGATCTTGGTAGTACCGAAAATATGTACAAAATAAACATTTTACAGTTGCGGCGCGACAGTGTCTTACAGGATCCTATGCAAACTGACTAAAGAAGTAATTACGGGCTCGTGGAACGGTGTCGCGGCCCCGCGACACAAGTCACAGAAAGCGCGTGAATGATTTTGTAGAGCGGCGTGCGGCGTGCGAGCCCCGGTGCGCATTCTGTACAAAGCACTTACCTCCAGGACTATTCGATTTTGGAAGCATCGTCTGCCCCGGTCGGTCACGCAGCGCATCGAACCGCGCGCGCCCTCGTTCGCGCAAAAACCCTATTATTTCTCAAATCCCTACCTCTAATAATAATCGCACCGCCAGTCTTGTTATTTTCGACACACAAGGGTTAGAGTAAGAAGAATACAGCAAAAACAAACCAAGAAACTGCGGGGAAAGAAGGCGTATGGCCGCAGAGGATTCAAACAACGCAAGAGCAAACCGCACAAAAAAGCGTAACACGTCGAACTCACACGACACGGGGGGTGGGGTAAAGCGTTGTTTTGTACGTACGTACCCCTCTGGAGGGGCGCAGGTACGGGGCAACGAACACGTTCAAGCGGTGGAAACACACAGCGAACGGGGGGCGTGAGGCGATCCTCGTGTGATGCTAGGAGCTTACCTATCCTTAGAAATTACTTGATCGTACACCCTAAGTGTCCTAACACTCAGTTAACTTATGTCTTCGTCGTGCGAGACAAACAATGAGATAAAATTATTATAATAACGATGAAAATTTGGTGGCACTCTACAAACAATAAAAAGTGGGTGACATTCCATCGTTTGAAAGGTTGTCCCAACACACATTTTCACACAAGTCACACGCCCCTCTGTTCTCTATATCGTTGCCACATACTTTTCAAGTGATTGAATGACAGACACTTGTGTGTTTGGTAGAGTGCGACAAGGACGGGAAGCGATGTGACGGCGAGGCGGGTCCTTCTCGCGACGCAGGTCGTCTTGTTCTCCGGCGGGGCGGGAAGGGGAGCGCCACTGCGCCCAGCGGCAGGGTCCCGGATCGCGTCGAGGTACGATGGGTGGCCTGCCGGCAGGCGCGCCGAACGCGGCTGAGGCGTTGACTGGCTCCGGCTAGTGGCCCAATGCAGTTACTCCGCAATTATTTCTCGTCTGCTCCGTGCGTCCCCATCACATACAGTGCGAAGTCCACCCCACCGTGGAGAGACCGCCGAAATGGGAAAATGCCGATGGGACGCGGCGTTCTACTAGAAAGAGTATTAGCGTCTCCCGTACTCCAAAAGCCTCTCTGACATGAGAATAGTTATGATTTAGTTATAGGCATCACTCACATTCAAATTCGACACATATCGTCTGTCATACAAAAGAAATTAATACTACAATATTTCATCTTACTTTTAAAAAGCTAATGACGAATGTGTACGGCTCATTTCAGGTATCATGTCGGTATCAGTTTTTTTAAAAGACGACATCGTTTATAACTGGAATGTCATAGAGACAAGTTTGAAACAAATTATCTTTGCGACTGCGACTTAGGTTTTGGCAATAGGGTGGAACCAAACTGCCGGTCCGATCGACCCGACCTATTCAGCACAACTCGCGCCGGGGAAGGCCCAAAGGACCACTTTAATATGGATATTTTCGATCAATGCTATTCAACTCATGGTCTCACAGGACACAAAATAATTTCTTAAAATAACGAAGGTTGTACGTCTGAGCTCTAGCTCGTTGACTCTCTCCCCCCTGGGTAACAAGCGAATCGCTAGCGTGCAGTGTGTGCTAGGTGCGGGTACTCACTGGGTTAGGGACATGCGCAGCGAGGCCGCCAACCAACTAAAGCTCAGTTTTCTTCCTGCAATACTAAATACAGGCAATATGTCACTCCATGCAAAGCATAAATTACTCTCTTCATCTAGCGTACTGTTTCAATTCTTAACCAAAACTATCTGTGCGAAGAACAAACAATATTTTACTAATTTCTTTTGGGGGTCTAATCCAATCTAGTCGCAACGCCTGCTTTTCAAAGTGCGCATAGACTCTTAGAAAGCATTACTTTAGGGTTGACAAATTAAAGTTGTCGGACTTTAACAATTAGCTATTCCATCTGTAAGGATTTACTTGCAATTATATCAATAAAGAAATGGGCTTTCAGTCATAAATAAAAATAAGAATAAAATGAAACTGGAGACCACTTTAGCAGACTGGGCATAACTGCTATCAAATCCTACATTTTTCAGTCTGTATTCAGGAACAAATTTACAAGAGAGACCAGACAAGTTTGCATGTTCAATGTGACATCCTTACGTCTACTTAATGCAACTATGCAACACTGCAAAATTCTAAATATTTTAAGAAGAGTCTCTACACTAACAATTTTAAATATAATTTTCTCCCATAAAACCTACACTTTCTTTTTTTATTCGTTTAAAAATATTAGAACAGCATTAATAGCACCAACAATACATCTTGTGGGAAAGTGAATCTGCACAGATTACGACTCCAGGAGGAAAGAAATGCTGTGTTTAGCAGAGCACATTGTGCAACAGACTGTATTTAATTTGTGGAATTGAAAACCTGAATAACAGACACAGTGCATAGATGAGAGGAAACAAATATTTTTGATCAGCTTCCATAAATGAAAAGTAGCTGTCAACCAACAAAAGTAAACTTTTAATTACTAATCTAGCTTTAGTTAGTAAATTTAAAAAAGAGAGATAATAGAGCAAAGTCAATTATAATACACTTTGAAAAAAAAAGTATTCAGAATGTAATATCGATCAAACACTTCAACGTGATTACTTGAAATTGAAGTAAGTTTTAGCTGGTTGACAACTTCATGTGATATGGCCAAAATTCATATTATTTTCTATGCTTTAGCCTTTTACAAAGCACTATTAGGACTTAGCTGTGCTCAAAAATCACAGTTAGCTTAAAGAAGCTGAGCTAGCTATACTGCTAGCTAAATTTGATCACCATAAGTGTTGCATTGTTTTGTATGAGCACAACTCTGCTACAGAAATGCATGAGCAGTTCTCTAAATTCTTGATTATAAAATATGAACGCTATTGTATAAACTTGACGTCTCCCCAAACCATATAAATTCATGGAACAAACAAAACTTTCTAGAAAATACAAAAAGATTTGGCAGTGCTGTGAAAATTAAATTAGAAAGTTTATGCCAGCCTCTCTTAAACAGTAATTAATTCATTATTCTGGTTTCATTGCTTTCAGAGAATGACTCATGCAACTAAGTGTGAAAGGCGCAAAGTAGAAGAATGCATGCTGTAAATTAAAACCAGAAGCTTAACTGTTAGATTCAAAGAACAAGAGTAGAATTTGCTGCCTTCGAAGCGCCAACTCATTGGAAGTTTCACATAGATATGTTAACACGACACTTGTATTGTCAAAAAGACAGTCAAATGAGTGGACGCCTCTGATTCAAGTGTTAAAGTAATGTGTCAACTTATTGTTAATAATCAAGTGGCCCTTGGGACAGTGTCACAGTATCAAAGATTATAACAACTTCTGATGATACAGAATCCATTGAAATCAACAAGGTTGTGTATTTTAACTTTTGACCATGCAACTGATATTGACTATGAATATCAATGAATGTAACCTCACGCAATGTACACTATAAATATTGCTTTGTGGAAAAAATTTACAATTTGCACATATTCAATTAGTGCAGGCAAAGCAAGAATGAATTTGGTCAGTTTGGTAAGTGGGTGTATCAGAAATGATTGTGCATTGATCAAAGCAAAGTCCTACTTTGTAAAATATATTTACAATTAGTTCGAATTGAGTATTCCTACGGATGTCGGTGAGGGATCCTCACACACCATTGATCTAAACATTAGTTAATAAGGTCAAATGGTGGACTTGATAGAGCTAAAAGTGTCACATTAAGCACAGCTAAAAGCATGTGCTTCTTGCTCATTCCAATTACTGATTCTTTAATAACACTTGTAAGTAAATGCTAGAGTTTTCTAGGGGTTACTTCCACTTTACACCATTTAATGAAAAATGTAAAAAAAAAAAAAAGACCAACAATCATGCATGAACATTAATCAACAAAATAAAAATCAAACATCACATTACCACTTAACATCTGTTTTCTTTGACCAAAAATATTTAGCAGGCATTGCAGATGGCAATGCACATGCATAAGTACATCAGATATTTAAACTATAATAGTGATCAACCAGAATAATGCTAGCTCAGGAAACTTTCGTACTGAGGAATGTGTGCAAGTTTGGCACAGAACTGGCCATAAATGGAACTGGAGGAACTAACACATTGCAGATTTATACACCTCCATTGTAAGAGACTGAAAGTATGCAAAACGTGCTCTAGATTACAGCATCTAATGTGTGACAAGCTTCACCAATATAATAAGAAACCTTCAGAAAAAGAAAGGAAATGTCCTTGTTTGACATGTGCACATGCACCATTTTCGAGAGGCCATAAGGTGACTAAGAATTGTAACCCCGAAAATGTAAATATTAATTAAGGTATTTAATGCAGTGGCACACGAAAAATTAGACTTTCCTGAGCAAAATTAATTGAACTGAAGGGACATGCACTGCAAAAGCATTATTCTTGCTGTGATTGTACACATGCAGTCACATCATCCTCACTCTGGGAGCAAAGCAACACAATCACATGGCACTTTCCTTTGTACAGCTTATGCTTTTATTAAGCTTAACTAAACCTTTAAATTACATAAATTAGTAGAAAAATACAGCCAGCATATAAATAAGTGTAGCAAAGAAATTAACACTGGTACAATAATACACAATTAAAACGCAACTAATACATGATCATTAACACCATAGGCTCACATGTTCAACATAACTAAATAGCATTCTATATTCATTATTGAATTCTGCATCTAAATACCCTGTAGCTAAAAAACACAAATCAGGGCTGCTACATTACCCTTAGCAGTTAGACACCTCAGAGAAAAAAGGACGCAACACTTATGTAAAATAGGTTGTCAGATGTCTCTCATGAGTATTAAATATGAATGGTAGGTGGTGGAAAAGCTGGATATTTCCAGAAAATTGGTAGGCAAATGCAAGTTGCACCCGTTTGTTAATTAGCAACAAAATTAAATTTTCATTATATAAAGAATTTTCATCAAGGACTTTCCTCTCTCAGTTATGATAATACTTAGTCAATTTCCTGAGGCTCAAATTCAACTAGAAAACACTGCTCCCAATCTTCTAATTTTGTCTAACCTTGTAACATCACTTCAATCATGACATTTGTAGCAACCCTGATGTAACACATACGGGTAGGACATCATGACAGGGCCACTGAAGTCAGGAAATTCATTAACATTTTGAGACACCAGTGAAAACTGGCTTGTTCAAAGAAGAGAAAGACAGAGTCTTTTATCATTATCATTAATGGTATCCTGTCCCAGACCTTCCCGTATATAGCTGACTGACATGCTCTACTGCTCAGCCGCATCAGGTAACATTCTCACAGATCTCTCACACAGTCACACACACAAAATTAACATTCAAATTAACAACATACATCCTCACAAACATCCAAAACAGTTAATTAAAACCTGTTTCTCAAATTAGGGACATCTTAGGTTAATTATATATTAAGCAAAATCTTAGTGTAAAAATTGCAAGCATACTTCCAACAATTATCAGGAATGTATGAAGTTGAGAATGAATATCTGGCCACATAATACTGAACATTTCATTACAGTGGCCAATTGTGAATCACACAACACAGGCAACAACACATGGCAAAGCCCAAAGGGCTTCTTTTAAGTATTCAAACCATGCATGAAAATGGCCTGATCGGAAAGCTCTGAAACTGTGGAGTAAATGCAACAACGAAAGCGAAGTGTGCGCTTGAATTATGTTCTTATTAGTGAGTGGCGCACAGCTGCGCACAGCCTCGTTGGCTGGTCATGCTTCTGGGGCAGAGACAGGAAGAAAAAGAACTAACAGGATGCTAAAGAAAATAGGAGGCAGAGAGCTGAGGTCAAAGGAACATGCATATGTATTTTTAAAAATCCCTATGGTTAGAGTTTAAGATATTTTCCACACAAAATTCATTAAAAGATTGGATTCATGAAGTTATTAATCAAATTTGAAAAACTGGATGAGATTAAAAATTAAGTGGCTAAAGCTACCATAATATAAAACCCTTGATTCAACACTCCAAACAAAAGAAAAGGATAAAATAACACCCAAAGCAGGGCATATTTAGGTACGAAACTCACAGGATAGATGGGGTCAGTCCATTTGAGACTACCATGTGAGTTTCGAAATAGTGCAATGCTTCGCGGCATGACTACATGTATAGTCTCAATCTTAGGTAAATCCCAAAGATATTAACCACACACAAATGTAGTGTAGCGCAATGCATATCGAGCGAGCAGGCAGCGAGCGAGCGAACAAGAAAGATTATAGGAAGGCAGCTTACAGCTTGATCGGTTGAACTCTTGCTGTATGGGACCGGAATCAAACGCTCTTGCAATTCACCACCTATCACCTTTAAGAGTAAAGGGTAACAATCAGCAGTGAGACAAGATAACAATATAGTCACACAGTGCTGACTAGGGTGAACCTTGTCCGAGCTACAACAATACAAAATGGGCAGAGGGTCTGCCGAGTTCTCAAACAGTACACATCCTTCATGGGTCCCTGCTCCACAGACAACCATCATAAGGGATTCAACTAACTGTTCATGCAGATATTATCACTGGCTGCGCTTTACATGGCTGGAAATTAAAATCATTAAAACGAAGAAAATGTGTGTTGTTTGAAAGTAAAGAATAAGGTGACAATGGAAACAAGAGAAAGTTAAAATAAAATAGATAGGAAGTGTAGAGTGAGAAATAGTGTACAGGGCTGCTTGCTAATAGATGCAGGAAGACAGAGGAGGAGAGAAAGGCAAGGGGACAACCCCATTTCCATCACCAGCCAGCCGGCACTCACTCACAGGGAGAGAGTATATTTTTGTTTCATATATATATATATATAAATTAAAAAAAAGTACAGGTACAGTAGGGAAACGTCTCATGCATAGCTACCACGGCCAGACTTGACAGACGTTACCACCTACTTTCGGTCTAGATGCTAGTCTCAGTGTGGTGGGAGGATAGGGCAGGGGCTGATGGGGCCACATGTTGTTTGCCTGCAGGGGCCGGGGCCTGCAGAGGCACCAGATGGGGGTCTTCTGCCGCTGGCGACACCATCCTCACGGTATTATTCGAGGAGAGGGGCGACGGCGTTTTCGGGTCTTCGTCAATGTACTTGATGTCGGACAACGGGTGTGAGCTGCGGGAGCTTCGTAAACTGTGTAAACTACGAACGGAGCGCCGCTCCTGCAAGTCCTCCAGTGTCGACTTGAACGCGTTAATAACGCGCATCTGAAAAACACAGGGGGTGGCGGGGGAGTCAGATGAGGTGGTGGTGGGCGAAGAGGCAAAGGCTTGGCAAGGCAACGCCAGGCTTAACAGGCGTACGGGCGGCCACGACAACACTGCTACAACACTACGACAAACAACAGCTACAGCACTTGCTAAAGCCTTGGATTGTGATTATTTCATCATATCATCATACCTTGCACAGAAAAAAAAACTCTTGCAATTAAAAAAAAAAAAAAACACACAGTTGTGTTATTTAAACTAATCAAACGCCAGGCTGAAAAAAATATTAACTGACCTGCCGGCGAGTACCGTGCACCGAGAGCGGGGCTCCTCGCGAAGCAGTGAGAGTCAGTTCATGAGAGAATAGCAAATCTACCCAAGAAAAAGATGTGAGGCACCAGATCATGCAAAGCTGTGCTCCCTATGTTTACTAGGATACAACAGCAAATTGATTAGTGTTGATGCAATCCAAAAGAAGACAAAAAATAAGCAATATCAAACACTAAAAAATAAATAATTGAATTTCAAAATTAACGATTCAAATAGTAAAAGAAAAATGAAAAACATTGAATAGATTCTACAGCATACCAGCAAAACCAAATAAATTCCAGTCTAAGCAGAAAAACAGGTAAACTTAAGCAAGCATCACAGGCATGAGGAGTCAGACTAAAGATGCAAGGAAGAGGAGACAGCATTGTCAGATTACCACAGCTCGGGTACTTTCTCCCCCCATGGAGATTACTGGTACTACATGCACAAAGAAGAAATGATAGAAAAGCGATCAGGCGAGCAAACAGGCCAGGCAGACGCTTGGGCTCACAGGTAGGGACCATAGGAGACAAGGATATGAGACAGGACGGACTCTTGAAGAAAGAAAACCAATTCATAATAGGTGTGTGTGTGTTTGAAGGCAGGATAAGAAGGCAGCTGGAAAAGTTGGCAAAGAAGAGATTTTGGAAGTAAATGAGGGTGAAAGACATAAATACTGGCTGAGATGGGATAGGAGAAGCTCAAGACATGCCTGTAATAGACAAGGAACAGAAGAGCACGTAGAAGAGAAAAGCAGCAGTATGATTTACATAGAAGAAAGAATGTAGAACTTGAACTGTGTTTTCTGCGGAAAATGACAAAAAGTATGAAGGAGAGGAACAATATGGTGGATAAGAATGTGTTGAGACGAATCATCTACTCAGGAGATACTGTGCAACTATTTTGTATGCCGTATGCTTCATTTGCTACTGAAGGCAGGGATGGAAATGGATCGAGGAAAAACAGACTGACCAACCCCCAGCAGATGTAGAAAGCAAAACCAAAAACCCTTAAATGTGCATGGAAAGAAAAACATTTTAATTTGATATCCATCATGCTATACATTATATATAAAAGAAAATTGTTTGATTGTAATAATAATTTTTTTTTAAAAAAAATTTTAATTTTTTTTTTTAGAATTCTACTAATGGAAAAGTGTTATGTATTTTTACTAGCACATTTAAGAACTTTAGCAGTGCGAAGCTAAAGACGAGTCCCAATAGATACAAAAAGCCTCCACTGCTTGGCGCCGAGTAGTGTGGTATTCATAGCTCATGTAGTGCGCACAGGTCAGGTCATGTACCAAAATCCAAGGCTTTTTGGTCATGTCATGTTGGCTTTTAAGTGTCGGTGTGCATGTTAAAAAACAGGATGAATGAACACATGGCACATAGAACACAACAGCATGTTTGGTAGATGTTATCAACAAAAGTGTTCTAAGAGCAAGCAACAACCCCACCATAAAGAAGAGAAGAGACTTTTAAAATATTTAAAATACAAACAATACTTTGATACAACAAGAATTGATCAAAATGAACCAAGTGACTAAAACAATGAATCACACACACAATCTGGGGCTCATTACGTAACATAAAAAGGTAACTTTGACCAAAAATAAAAAAGCATGTATAATTTTAACCCATGTTTGGTGCAAAACTGACAGAAAAAGTGAAATCTATTTTCAAAAGGTACATCAGTGCAAATCACTTAAAGACTCACACCAAGCAATACAATACGCTAATCCCTTCCTGGCAGTTTGAAGTAACCATGCTCTTATAGATCACTTATGAGGATACACATCTACCGTTGATTGTACCTTCATCACCTGCAAGATACAAGCCAAAGGTCAAGCCACCGGCCACACCTGCAAGACAATGTTGTATCCAATACAAGGTACAGGGAATGATAGAATGACCCCAGTTACAAAGACTTAAGTCTGCTATCAGATAACAGCTTTAGAGTCTTATTCTCAGATAATTGACTGAGCCACATTGTAAATCAGAATAAGATCCTAGCTAATCACGAAAGAAACCTTCAAAATCAAAACCTGTATGCATCTGCAATTGACAATTGTTTCCAAAAGAAAGGAAATATTTAAGTGAATGGACACTGAAAGGGTAGAAACTACTTAGGTACTATGTGCAGGCGGGTACGCAGGTAATTTTTACCAGTTACACAACTTTTTCAAATATTGCCAAAATTCAATGGGAATGAAAGAATTAAAGTAAAGTTCCAAATGACCAATCATTCAAAAGAAAAAGTACAGGTAAAAATGCATACAGGTAATGGAAGAGAGGAATAAACAGGGATCACAACACAAGTGGTAACAAAAGGTATTCATAGACGACTGCTATTAAGATATTTCTTGACAAAAATATTGTTTGCTTCCAAAGATGGAACACAGGTAATTCAAATTGTACTGCCAAATAAGGTTGAAATTGTCACCATTTGCATTGAGAACCATTATCAGGATGGACAGAACCAGAGCAAAGGCTTGTGACAGTAAAAGCCTTTCTTCTGTTTCAGATGTGTCATGAAACCTACCTTTCAAAATCCACATCATGCCAACTCTATTTCAGATTTCTACTCAACTTCCAAAACAAATTCACTTTTATGGCTACACTGCCTTAAATTTCTGAAACCAACCTGAGTCTGAAGTCTTGTTAGTCCTCTGATCCATAGGATCTGTCCTCGAGGCTTTTTATCACTGTCATCAAACCTCTCGTCACCAAGGTTGATGGCTTCTGTGTATTCATCCGGATGACCTCGACCCCATCTAAAAAGCACAACCATAAACCCTTTCAAGAACTTCAGTTTAATTTCATGATGTACAAACAAACTGCTGCCGAAGCCTAGTATCTACAGTGTCATCAGATACTGTACAGTAGAACCTCCAATGCTGGTAACTCCCATGCAGGCGCTCCCCCTCCGTCCCCTACACATCTAGTTTCCCCACTTCTCCACGTTGTCTAGCCGCTCGAGCGACACCCAATCTCCCACTTCAGCCACATGTGCGGTCTCGCTCCGGCTGCAACTGACAGAAGGTGTTTCACTCCTTCAGCTGAGGAGTAGTGAGGTACCTCAAAGCTGTCACCGAAACAGATGCTGGGCAGTTTTAGGACAGCATTGGAGATTCTACTGAGTTATTGCAGCCAATAGAAGTCAAATTTTGATCATTTTTACACTAAATAAGGTACAATTATAATTCCTACACAACTGAAATTATTTATACTTACGAGAAGATCTTTGGTATCTTCCGAGTGGGCACTGTAGTTACGAGTTGTCCCCACACAAGAGTTCCAAATCCAAAGAATACACACCAGAGCCATTGGTCAAAACTTAGGCTCTTTGTAGAAAATGCTTCTTTACCATATTGGATGATGACCACCTATTCACAATTCCAAACTTAGTCTTTTTCTTCCAAAAACTCAAAAATGGTTTATAATATTAGAAACTAATGCAAACTAACTGACCTGAGCAGCAACTGTACCAATCCAGATTGAATAGAAGATGGGATTTGTGAAGAAGCCCTCAAATACATTTCTCTGGCCATGAATTTTTCGAGCGTTTATTTCATTGAACATGGTCATCATGACGAAGGTGTTAAAAATTACAGTGAAGTGCTGGGTATCTTCACCTTTACTATCTTGGCCTGATCTGATGTCCAGTAGTCTGTCACCTGCAATGAATTAAACAATTTAATGACAGCAATTTATGGTAATAAAGAAACACGTTGAAAATGGTTCTGTTGAAACATACCGACAAAAAGAAGGGAAAATACAACAGAGAGTTGATAAACAGCCTGTCCAAGAATATTTTTCATCATAGTCCTTGAAATAAGGGGCTTTGTTCGGCCGTAGGGCTTCCGTAACAGTAGATCTGCAGTAGGTAACTCAGTGGCCAGTGCCAATGAAGCCAAAGTGTCCATGATAAGATTAACCCACAACATTTGAACAGCCTAAAAAGTCAAGAGATAGTTTATTTGAAAAAAATACAATTGAAGGGTAGAATTGTATTAAGTAAGAGCAAATATGGCATTCTTACCTTGAGAGGACTGTCCTGAACAGCACAAGCACCAACAAAAGCTACAATAACAGCAACAACATTAACAGTCAACTGGAACTGCAGAAATTTAGCTATGCTGTCATACACATTTCTGCCCCACAAAACAGCTTTCACTATGCTGCTGAAATTGTCATCAGTAAGAATGATATCTGATGCTTCCTTGGCAACATCTGTTCCAGCAATACCCATAGCAAAACCGACATCAGCTTTTTTAAGGGCCGGGCCATCATTGGTACCATCACCCGTAACAGCCACAACTTCTCTAGCTTCAGAAACTTTACTGTCAATTATGCCCTTCACAAGAGTGAACTTGTCAGTTGGTGAGGACCTAGCCAGAACTCGTAATTTGGGCCATACTTTGTCCAAAAGATGTTGCTGAACCTGTTCACGGAAAAGTACAAAAGAATGAAAACTTACTCTTTTCGCAATTCATAGTCCTAAACATCCATTATACAACTCATGCATGACTTACATCTCCATTGGCATCACGAATCTTCCGATTGAAATCAGTGCCTTCCAAAATAAGGAAATCATCACCAGGTTTGATAATACCACATTTCATAGCAATGGATCGGGCAGTGTTAATGTTGTCTCCAGTAACCATCCTGACAGTGATACCAGCTCTCTGGCACTTGCGAATAGCCTCTGGTACCTTGAAAAAAGATTCAAAAGGATTTTAACAAACCATATACTTACTGCTAAGACAGATGTTATATAAGAAAATAATTTGCATAAAATAGAGCAAGTTTTTACCTCAGGCCGAACTGGATCTTCAATACCAACAACGCATATTGCCGTCAAATTGCTAACAATATTTGCTTCATCATCCCAGTTAGGTTCTTGTTCAAAGTGAACTTGATTGATTTCAGCTTTTCCTGGCACAAAGTCACGGTATGCTATGGATATTGTTCTGAGTCCGTCAGCTGCCATCGGCTCAATAACTTGACGAACCAGCCTGTCCTGCATCTCTTTTGTGAATTTCTCCAAATGACCATTGCGACCATAAATGAAAGAACACCTGATGAGAAAAGAAGGAGCGAGTAAGGATAGAGCACTAGGTATTTTTTTATAATATACTGAATGTGGCAAACACTCACTTTCCCAGAATGATTTCAGATGCTCCCTTGGTAAACAGTCTGTAGCCACCACCTTTCCTTGGAACCACAGTGCTCATGGATTTCCGCACTGAGTTGAAGGTGTAGACTCTAGTAAATATTTCTTCAGGAACATCATCTCGAATTGTTTGATAGTTCTTGCCAAGAGCAACCACAAAGCCAAGGAGGGCGCACTCAGTTTTATTACCAACTTGCATCATTGGTTCCCCAGGTGCATTTGGTTCCTAATCAGAAAAAACAATGTGATTGCAAAGATCGTCAACCTTCTGACAGACCAATAAGAGAATATTATACTCACCATAATTTTCGATGTGTATCCTGAATTGATCGACATTCCTTGGATCATCAAGTTAGCAACATTAGGTGGAATATCAGAAAATCGTGGAGTAGTTTTACTCAGTTTCTCACAGATGTAGGACTGCACAACGGTCATTCTAAAAATAAATAAAATGATTTTAGGGAACTTACAAGAAACACCAACATAAAAGAGTTCAAATTCTGTTTTTGGTGTCTTCAGTACCTGTTTGTGGTGAGTGTTCCAGTCTTGTCAGAACAAATGGCAGTGGCATTGCCCATAGTTTCACAGGCATCCAAATGTCGCACCAAGTTGTTATCTTTCATCATTTTCTAAATAAATAAAAGTATTTTAGATTAAATTTTAAATTAAATATGTACCAGATTAGCAAAGCAAATTGAGAACGTTTTACCTTCACAGAATAAGCAAGGGAAAGTGTTACAGCTAACGGAAGACCTTCAGGGACAGCTACTACGAGAACAGTAACACCAATGATAAGATGTCTCACAAATTCATTGGCGTAAACTGCTTTCCATGGTTGGTTTTGAATTACAAACTTGTGTATACAGAACTGAATGACTAGAATGACCACAGTCACAAACGCCACCGTTGAGCCTATTGCATTAAAAACAAAACTTAAATCTGGAAGACCATATGAATATTTTAACCTTAGTACCTATTTAAGCAAAGCTCCAAATTACCAGCATATCCAATTTGAATGGCAAGCTTGGTGAGTTTAGCTTGCAAAACAGATTTCTCTTTTTTGCTTCCTTCATCCTTCGCGGGAGTGCCTCCGCCGGTATGGTTCTCTTCAGACTTGGCAGCATGATTACCATCAGCATGGGATCCAGGGGCATGCATATGACTGTTGCCAGTCATACCTTCCTCCTCACCACCTAATAAAAATGAAAAAATCTTTAAAATAACAGCCTGTTGAGAAGACCTAGAGACCTCCACACTTAAAATTGAGTTTATTAAGAAAAGGAAAGGACCTCCAAGAGATCATACTACTAAGACACTTCATGCTCAAGAAATGTGAAACAAAAATCTTGATCTTGAAAGCAACTTATAACAGATTCACAAGTGATAACCAGAGCCAGCATGCTCCTTCACTTTCAAAAAAGTTGAATGTGAGGGTTTACCTCACAGGCAAACATGCATCAGTAAATTAAGAATTGATTTAAACCACTTCCAAGACCAAAAATGTGGAATACCAGGACGAGTTTAGAATATGTTGTTGGCCATGAATAGGAAACAATCCAACTGTTGCCAAATAGACCTTGATGAGAATTAAAATTAATTAGTCACAGCCAACAAAAAAGACGTTTCTAAACCATCATGGTGCAGCAAGTATTAAAAATTAATTAAAATGGCAGGTTGAAAACTGGCCAAGAGATGATTTCAGGTAGCTCTGAATTTTACAATTAATGGAAAGGGCCAATGGAAAATGTGATAAAATATGTTAGAATAATAAGCCATAGATATGAATTATCAAGTGGCAATTTGAGCCTCCAAAACCAATGAGCAAGCTCTGAAAAACATCATTTGTGCAAAATGCATCACCTGTTATACTCTGCTTCTTCCGCGCCTTTTTAGCATCTGTAGATGAAGACCATGCAACAACAATTCATTAGTAAAACAACATTTAGGAGCACGATGCATTGGATTGGCTCAGTCTTAGGTACATTCATTTTATTTAAATAGGATGGGTAACTAGAAAACGAATTTAATTTTTCCTAACTGAAAAGAGGAAAGAACTAACAGGGAAAGAAGAGTAGAAACTTTACCAAAACATGCATACATTTCTTCTCTGTCAAAAAGTAGCAATTAACCAGCAGGCAAAATAAAAACTTCTCTTAACAAAATTGTAGTGTCCAAAAAAAAATTATATTGGTCATAACTGACCAAGCAACTCATTCATGCAAATCTGAGCTTCAAAATCAGCATAAAGTCTCGGTTCAGCACCCAGAGACATCCACACACAGGAAAATTGACAAATATTGCATGGGATAAGTTAATGGACACTACATGAGACTATCATTTGTATGGACCAAGTGTTAAAACAACAAATGTGAAACATGTGAAACATGCACATAGATGGTGCTTCCTAGACTATTAATGCCTCAGCAAAGGCAAAACATCATTTATCAGAGTTTTGCTTGAATCAAGGCCCTTAAGGGCAAAAAGTGGAACAACGTCATTTGATATTTGAAATCTCTCAAAAATTTTGTACAGTACCTTTCCTCATTTCCTTCTTCTGTTTCTGATCTTCTTCAGCAGCTGCGCCGAGCAAAGCAAATATGATACCAGCTTGTGAGTTGACACCAACCGCCGTGACTAGCATTTTACCACTGCCCTCCATTACTTGAGTTCCTGAAAAAAAAACAGAAGGTATGTATGTTAGTACTTCAGGTTCAGCACAAGTCATTCAAGACAAAAATATTAGGGCTTACCTGATAAAATAAATGGATTATGCTTTTCACTCTTTTTGACATGATCAGACTCTCCAGTCAGAGATGATTCATCCATCTTCAGATCATTAGATTGAATAAGTATTCCATCAGCTGGAAGGAGGTCTCCGTATTTTATCTAGAGGAAGATAGGTCATCAGATATTTTAAACCTGAACTTAAAAGTGCAAACCAAAATTAAGAATACCAAAATATAAGAAATTACGTACCTGACATATTTCACCTACTACTATATCACCTGTTGGTATTTGTTTGAGTTCACCCTGCCTAATTACATTGACCTTATTTTCTCCTTCAATTCTGCTTTGCAGTCCTTGGAATTGTCTCTCTTTAGTGTAATCATTAAAAGCTGTTACCAGCACAACAACAATAACTGATATAAGGATAGCTAGACCTTCAATCCAGCCATGCTTTCCTTCGTCTTCTGGCCCTAAAAACAATGTTAATTGTTAATGGTCAGGGTAAAAAAAATGAGCATATCTGTAATAAAGCTGAAGCCGAAAGACTTCAAAATAAAAGATGAGCAAAATTACCTTTGCCTCCTGCTCCTCCTATTTCAGTAAGGGCATGGACAGAAATATCATATTAGTAACATGCAGAGCAATCGAGTAATTGTGCAAAAGACACATATATGTGGAGATCAGAACATCATTCTAGCAGGGAGTTTTCTAAACATTTAATTTCACCAACATGAAATGACAGGGAGCAAATGACCACAATATGAAATATTTAGATCAGGGACATATATATTAATGGCTACAGTGAGTATACTTGAATTGTGGTCATAATTTGAGCAATAAGTTGTTAGATTGTTAAGAAAGGTGACCGCATGGTGCAAATAATACTAGGCCATGCTTAACTACAGTACAAGTTGTACATGCTGATTTCAGCAGAGTTACCTACCCGGTGCAGCTATTGGTCAGACATAGAATTAAAAAAAAGGAATGGAAATCACTCAAGTTAACTTAAATACAATCAAGTACTCCCAAAATTGACACAAATGGAATAACGAACAAAAGAATATGTAGAAATAATTAATATCATACCTGTTTCATCTGCAGGAGAATAGAATGCTAACCCCAATGAGACTAATGCGGCAATTTCTAAAATAATTAGTGTAACATCTTGAAGAGCTTCCCAGACTAACCGAAGAAAAGTCTTAGGTGGTTTTGGGGGTATTACATTGGAACCAAATGTTTCTCTCCTATGTTCCATGTCAGCTGCTGACCCAGTTAAACCTACAAGAGATAGATACATATGTAAACATACAAACTAACATAATACTATTTAAGCACAATTTTAAGTAGTTGACATTTCATCATACCTTCATTAGGGGAGGTGTAGAGTTTTTTACATAACTCTTGTACACCTCCCAGTTCTTCAAGTTTGGGGATCGCCTCTGCAGCTGGCAGGCCCATAATTTCCCGCAGCTGCTTGAGGGAGACCCCATACTGGGCTGGTCTTCCTTCTATCGTAGCCATGTTGCTTCCTCTTCTATGACCTGCAACAAGAAGACAAACAAAAGGCGTCAGTATGAACTCAGCAAGCTCATTCTTCGTCACAACTTAGTGCCATAGATTCAGTTACTGGGCAAGTGACAGTCATCACATCTGAGTGTAGGTATTGACATTCATCTTGTTGCCTGGTCTTCTGCGCTCTCAATGAAATGTTAAAACACCAATATCTTAATTCTTTCTATTGACCCACTGACTACGAGTAAATGTTTTCAGGGGACTGACTACCACTACATGGGAACACACTATGCTGAGACAGAAGGAAGAACACTTGACATATTGACATCCTTTTAACAAACAAAGCCACCTTGCGAATTTTTGAATAGTTTGGCATGGCATGCCAGGCAAAATACACCCACAACTTTGAGGTTATGATTCCCACGGACCTGTTGCAGATCACGCTCTAGGGCGGAAACCAACAACCAGAAATTAACCTGCCCACACACCAGACGAGACTCCAGGCCCGGTTTTGACAACTCGGTGAGTTTCGTACGCAGACAGCGGACGGACGAACCGTTAAACCCAAACCGCCCCCGCGGAGAAGCGGCAGCAGCGGCCCGTCAACAATGAGCTGTCAACACACTTCTTCACCTCGAGCACTGATCAGTCCACTTCGCCAAGCGGACACTGGTCAAGCCGGCACTGACACGCCCCGTCAGCGACCGGATCAGTCGGCAAAGCCCTGTCCAGCGCCGTCAAACTTGTGTCAAATGCAGAGGCAGCGACTCGACAACCTTTGCCGAGCTCTAAAGTCGCGCGAGCGGCGCTGGGCGGTGGGCGTTATTACCTACAGCCAAGGACGGAGTCGGGTCCGGAGCTCACGGCTCCGTGCTGGCCAAGCTCCGCTTCTCGCCGGATCAGCCGCTGGGGTCTCTCATTCACGCAACGGCGAGGTTATGTTGTCCCGCGGATCCCTCGGCCTGCCTCTCACTCTCTCACTCACACGTTCGCCCGCTCACTCACACACGCACGCACGCAGCACACTACTGCTGGCCCCACTGCCGCCACCAACACAGTCGCACAATATCGCCTCGCTGAGTAGTTGAGTTCGCCAGTGCGGGGTGGCGGGGCGGGGAGGGGCGTGGCGGGAGGGCGTGGTGGTGGTGGGGAAGGGAAGTCGGGGCGAAAGGGGGGAGAGAGGGAAGGGAAGGCGTTCGGCTGTCGTCTCGTCGAGCCGTCGTCGTTGGCGTCGTCGGCGTCCAGTCGATAGTGACGTCAGCCGACGCCGGCAGCGGCCGCGAGGCGTCGCGACAGCGTCTCGACGGCGTCGTCACATGGGTCTGATGTCACCAAGCTGCCAGGAGGGCGTCCATCTCGTCACCGGCGTGACTCACGTGACTCACACGCCACCAGTCCGCGGGGAATTCCTTTTGGCGCGTTTTTTCAGGCAGTCGTTTTAGGCTTATTTTGACGTGTGAAAGCCAGTGAAAATATTCGTTATTATTTTTCGGTTAGTCGAGGGGGGAGGAGGGGGGGTGTCTATGAACGGCAGGTCCCCCCGCAATGAACCATTGATGGGCGTCGTTGCCCCGCCTGTGTGAACGTTCCCTGAGGTGACGTTCCCCGACGCTGGAGCGGAGCGGGAGCTACCCGAAAACGTTCTTCCACCTCCCACCCCCCTCACCCTGTTGTGACCGCCTGGCAGGGAGCTTCGTAATGCCCCTCTAGACGACGCGATGCGTGATGCGTTTCCTCTTTGTCGGCTCGCCTGAGAAGCGTTGCTTTGAGAAACAACGCCACCTTAGGAAACGTTCATTGTGGGGGCATCGGTATGGACATTCGACATCCGAGGGACATGTGGTCACATTGTGGTCACATTGTGGCCACAGCACAGCCCAACCAGCCATTTAGGAAGCTTTGGGCCAAAGAAAAACAGGACGAGAGCAAGATTTTTGTGCCGACACAAAGCTTCGTTGAACGTAGCCCTGCTGCTGCCGCTCTCCCGGGAAAGTCTCTAGTCAGCATTTTTTTCGTCCTTCGTGTCGTGCTCGTCCTTCCATTTCCTCCCGTTTTTTTTCCCGCGCCTCACGGGGAATGACAATTTCCCCTTTGCAAGAACGGAACTGATTTTGTTTTTTTTCCCCTCTGCTTCTTAT